CTCTGAGATGGGTTTAGAAAATGCCTCAGCACAAGGAAAGAACTCTTTCGGGTCATAACCTGAAATCAGGTATTCATCCTCATCTGGTTTACCGTAGGCACACAGCTGCCTAGAAAGGCAGCGACATCACAGTTAATCACCATCCACGTGTCCTCCCAGGACTTCGTGGGGTGGGAGGGTCCCACCGCCACATCTTCGCCCACAGCGTCGTCCAGCTTAGAACACCCTCCCTCCGGCTTTCTTGTCCATCAGTATCTCGTACACTGTTCAAAGTCCAACTTATGTTTTGCCTACTCTGGTTTACATTCATCCTTTCCTTTTTAAAACACTTCCAAAATGGTTCTTAGAGTTTACACTCATTTATATTCATTTAATGACTTAAGAGTTTCTTGTATTTTCTCCTCAAGGATTTAACAAGGTCGTTGCAGGCAAAGATCACGCATCCTGACTTTCTTGCACCCTTAGCAGACTCTCGGGGGCTGGAAACAGCATAGGTGTGTAATAAACACCATTTGATTGATGTCTGAGACTGATACGGCCTCTAACCCTGAATACATAACACGGACTTTGCACATTAACACTGGAGCTGACAGTCCTTTCCCCACAGTACGTGCTCTTTTTAAAGTTAAAAAAAATGAATAAAGCCACTCTTTGAAAAATGCCTTTGGAAGAGGGAAACTAAAAGAGAGCCTGGTGCCAGGAAACCACTGGGATTTCCATCTTATTCACTGAGAAAAGTCACCACTTGGCTAAGACCAGTGAGCGGTCTTAGATAAGCCATGCTTTGTGTATGTCTCTGTTTCCACATCTAATATGGTGAAAGCCTGAATAAACCATGTTACCTAATTTTTCATGACCCAGATCCCTGCCCCTTTTGATGCTCTCTCTTTCCTTCCTCTCACAATGGACCCTCTGTTTTGAAAATTTTATTTATTTTTCTACTAAAGATTAACTTAATACGTTAATACGTTTCCCTTCATCTTGATTAGTCATAAACCAATAAAAACAATCAGACTTCCTCCCTGTAGTCAAGTGACCAGAGTAACCGGTACATGGGGTTGCAAGAATCCTCCCGAGGGGAAAAGCATGTTTTCATCAGTTCTTACAGTTACGTCTCCAGTTATTGAATGATATTTCCTTTGTCTTCTTGCGGTTCTGAAATGAGCCCACTGACCCCTCTTTCTTCCAGTTAGCCCGTCAACTGCTTGGGACCCCAGACTGGGAAGTTTTGAAAGAGGGGGTTTCTGAGCTGCCTTTCCACCCTGAAGTTCCCAGGTTTTATGGTTGTAGTTAATGAATGGCATCACTACGTTGGTTTGGCCATTGGGTGATTACTGAAGTCATGTTTCCAATTACTTGAAGGAAGGTCATCTGGATTTAAAGAAAAAAAATGCTGGTGTTCAAAGGTGGTAATCTGGTGATAACAAAGCTGCCTTGGCAATTGGTTCCCCATTTCAGCCTTAGCCAGATTAACTGGAATTTGAACCATAACATTTAATTGAGAAAGGGAGGGAGAAAGAGAGACTGATGAGGCAAAGGTCTTCATAGCCTGCACACAACTCAGACCTTGGAGGGACTCACCTGAGGTTTTCTGAACTGAATTCTGACTCCAGGAATCGCAGAAACTGGTCCCGTCCTACCTGGTCCTTCAATATCTCGTCGAAAGAGAAGCCCCATCTCTTTACTCTCTGCTGGCTGGGCTCTTTGCTTTGGGAGAAACAAAGGTTTAAAAGATGATCAATACCAAGCAAAAACCTGCATCATATTCTCATCAACAACTCAGACTTATTTTGCTGCCACGGGCCAAAGGGAAGTGTCTCATATTTAAGTGACAGATTCCATAAACCCTGCACCAATCCCAAACGCAGACTGCTGTGCACTGACACTAGCCAACAGTAAAGAGTCTCTTTCAAGAAGGTGTTTGAAAGGGGCCACATCTAGGTGAGGGTCACAGGATGCCCACCAAGTGGCTGCTGTCTCCAGGAAATACAACCGCCCTTGATTTGGCTTCCCTGGGCCATTTCCTTTGGTTATGGGCCCAACTCTTGACTTTTTTCACTTAAAAAAAGAAAAAACTGAGGATGCCTTAGGAATCTGACCTTTCATCAGAGACACTGCCCCCACCTCCTGCTCCTTCCTCAATCCACAGGGGAAAAACAGAGTCCAGTTCAGTCCAAGCAATGGCCAGCTGGTCAGAAATGCATCAGCTCATCCAGGATAAACCCATTCAGTTGTTCAGAGGCAGGATGTTGCGTTTATTCATTGATTTAACAGCTACCTGCACAGAGTCTATGGTCTACCACTTTCCCAACATTTCACATCTGTTAACTCAGATTTGAACATGTTGCTATACTGAATGGTTTCTGTGGTTATAAAATAATTCTGAAAATTAAAATATCTCTGGACATTCACCCCCAGGTGACTGGTACAATAACCTTCCCGTGGCCCAACTCAAACAAATAATTCATGGAACCCACAATTCCTTTATTTCCATCCACTGTGTAGAAATGCTTTCTTATGACATATTTTGTGTTATAGTTTTGTACCATCATTTAGCTTTTTAAGGGTTTATGCCATTGTCTCTCCAGCTATCGTGTGGGCTCTTTGAGGGCAGAGACCATGTCTCATGTATCTTTGTGTTCATAGTGCTTTTCACATAGCAAGAATTTAACACTAAGAGGAAATCAATAGGAAAATGTGTACAATGATGTGGGTGATGTGCCCTTAACCCAACAGCATTCTCTAATCGCTAGCTGCATGTCTTTTTCTAACTCTAATTTGTCTTCTGTGCCCATTTAGTCTCACCAAATTCCCCCAGACTGGGCACCCCAAACCAACACAGAGCAAAGACAGGTATCTCTCCCAGGGAGTCCTTCATTCCAGGTGATCTCCCAACTAAAGAGAATGGAGCAAATCTGCCCAACGGCGAACAACAAAGCCAGATTCAGAAGAAGCGGATATCTATAAAAATACTCAGCTATCTTCAAAAATTTTTTTGAACTACTAGAAAATTACTAAATGAGGGATTGTTCCTTAAAGAGCAAACGTCCCATGACCCCATCTCAGCCCCAAGGCTATTGAAGGAACAATCACAATTTTCTTTACTGCCCCAAGAACTCCTGATGGTCCTAAATACTCCAGTGGGGAGTGGTCCTGTTATTTGTTGCTGTGTAACAAACCATCCCCAAACTCAGTGGCTTAAAACAACAATTTCTTCTTCTCTCTCAGTATCCCATGGGCTCAGCTGGGTGGTTCTTGCCTGGGGTCTCTTAACAAGTTGTAGTTGGACAGCAGCTGGGGGTGGTGTCATCTGAAGGCTGGACTGGGCTGGACTGAGCTGGATGGCTCCTCACATGGCAGATGATGCTGGATTTTGGCTGGGAGCTCAGCTGAGGCTGTCGACCTTATGGGGCCCTACGGGCTTGGATTCCTCACGGCTTGGCCAGTGGGTTCTGAGAAAGAATGTCTTAAGAGCAAATGTCTCAAATGACCAAGGTAGAAGCCACAGGGGCTGCTTTATGACCTATTCTCAGAATGTTTCTTCTGCAATACTCTGTTGGCTAAAGGCACCAAGACCAGCCCAGATGAAAAGGATGGGCGATGTCTCCTCTTTTTGCAAGAAGCATCCCATGCGTACAAAGCAGGAAGACACTGATGGGGCCATGTTTGGAGACTGACCATGCTAGGGGAGGAGCTGGACTTAATATCCTGAATGAACAGCTCTATCAAGCTTGCTGAGCACGGGCAGCTCAGGGACAGCCTCTGGCTCTCAGCAGGTCAGGCTGGCTAGGGGTAGATGCCTTTGGCCAAGCAGGATTAGCCAGGTTCCTTGTAGTTCTTTGCACGTGTGCCTGTTGCCCAGCAGAGAGAGAAGCCAAACCTGAACCATGTGATAAGAGCAAATTGTGAACCACAATCCTGCTGGCAATGTCAGGTTTTTGTTAGATCCACTAACTGGCTGATGGCACATTCAGGAATACTTCCCAGAGACCCTCTCCTGGTGGTGTTTAGACTACAGAGTTCTCTCCAACTGAGATCTGGCAATTTGGGGCTGATTTTTCCTTGGTGGTGAGCCCTGGCAATCACTGTTCTCTCTACCTGAACTTGACTTCTCAGGGTTTCCACTAAATAGACTGGAGGTATAGTTGCCCATCCTTTAAAAGGGCAGCCTTACGTGGCCCTCTGAATATGCTCTTTCTCATTTTGGATTTCCAGATCTAATCATCTGTCTGAAAAGGACAAAGGATTAAAGCACAATTCTCTCTTATTTATGCTACATCCTGTGTCATCCTGCCAATTATTCTGTCAAATCCGTCACTGGCTTCCACGGGGTTGTCTGTAACCTGCACATGACAGAGACAGTCATGTTCATCTCTGTAGAATCCAGATGTTGTCTGTGATGCTCTCTGTGCTGGACACTGTGAAGAGTCTGTACTCCTTTGCCCATGCCCAGTAGAAATCAAAGCCCACCTGGGACAAACATGAAGTCGCAAGGGACTCCTGCCTTCTCCCGTGCTGCCTCTATGCTGCGTCTTCACCTGTCTTCAGCCAAAACCTCCTTCACATGAAGTGGTGGGAGGGTAGAAGCCTTTACTGAAGTTGGAGGGCCCTGAGACGGGGGTACACGTTGCACCACCCAACAGCAGACAATTTAAAAAAATCACACACTTGATATTCCTATTTTGAAGAGTCCTTGGACACCTCAGACCTAGGGGTTTTCCTGGCCCTGCACAGAGGCCTGGTCTCTCCCCTCGTTCTGCTCCTCTCACTGCCCTGAAGTCTTCCTTCTCAGGGACAAGATGCACACTCATCTCATTTTCTTATGTGACGCAGCACGACCTCTCCACTTGTTGAGTCTTGGCCATACCCCTGCCTTGAGGGCCTGACTCTGTGCCCCAAGTGACATTAATGCCCTTTGGCAAACTAGGAGGAATCCCGGGGCCCGGTGGTGAGACAGCACATCATTCACCTCGCTACACTGGTTTCTCGAGGGGCTTCCTTGCTCAGAAGGCAGCACATAGCAGGGTCTCAATAATATTTGTTGAATTAAACTGAAACCTAGAAAAAAAATGACCATTGATTATTTTACTGGTCATCTTCAGCCATTGGTTCATGGACAGAAACCACCTCTAGACTGACCCAGGATGGGCAGTGATCCCTGACTCCACGTCATGAAAGGAAGTTTCCTAACCACCGCCAGCATCTGACGGGGCGCGAACGTCCTACTGGGAGAAGAAGCAGGGCCTCATGGCTTCTCTTCATTTTCACTTGTATCTAAGGAACTGGTTCTGCTTGAAGGCGGACGGAACACTGCGCATGTCAGGTTAGGCGTCATGAGAGTAGAAGCCTGAGCAGCAAGAACAGAGCCAAAGCACTGCTCGTCGGGGCAGCAAGTCCCTCGGGGACAAAGTGCTGGCAGGCTGGGATAACCCAGCAGGCCAGGTGGCTGCCATTCTCCCAAACCATCACATGGGTTTTTTGCTGACTTTCAAGAGAGAAGGAGGAAATCCCAGTGTCATCATGGTGAATTAAATCCATGTGCCCACCTCCCCTCCTTTCCCAAATACAATGAAATGGCCAATGAAATGGTCACTTCCCCATCTACCCTCCATCCAACCTATACTTTTAGAGTACCTACAATGGGTCTAGGTGCTAAAATAATTTTAGGTCCTATTTAGAAAGATAACCAAGGCGGGGGTAGGGGGATGTGATATGGAGTGACTGGCTGGGTGGGGTGGCCCCTATAGATTGGGCAGTCACAGAAGACCTTTCTGAGTAGGGGACAACAATGCTGAGTGAGACTTGAATGAGAAGGGAAGCCAGTTGTGTGAGGGTCTGTGGAAGTGGTCCAGGAAGAAGGAATAGGCAAGAGCCTGGAGTTCAATTAAATATTAAAAAACAAAACAAAACATAGTGTGTAGAGGCAAAGAAATTTCCTTCCAGCGGAGGGCAAATGGTGAGGAATTTCCAAAAGGTATGAAGCAGGTGGACTGAACTGGTCACAAACCTGATCGAGAGCCACCTAAGCCTTTAGTGAGAATAAAGTAACTGGGGGTCCCCAACAGAAGCCTGGGAAAACCCCAAGCTCTGAGCAGCAGGACTGGAAATGGGGGCAGCTGGTGGGCATTGAGCACGGGGCATATGGAATAAACTCAGAAATATGGGACACGGGCTCCATGTGGCAGAGAGGGTCTTCCAAGGAAAGGGGGTGGGGGGTGTTTTCTGGCCAGCTTCTCATATGGGCAATAAAACCAGAAGGTGGTGCCTCTGTAATCTAGGGCTGGTACAGCAAATACAGTTGGGAAAAACATCTCGGCAAGGCAAGGAGACTTCTAAAGACATCCAGGTTTTTCCCTACTTCTCATTGGTTCCCATAGATCTAACTGGGTTCCCCAAGTTCCCTCAGCAGAAGGGAGAAGTGTGGCCTCACTGGGGAGCACCATGGACAGGAAACTGCAGAACTTCAGAAACCCCATCAGGGCCTGAAACAGAGCAGCACACCTGGCTGCTGGGATGTCACGCTAAGGAAAAGTGGGGCTTGAACCACCCATGGACCCCCGTAGCCATCATCCCAGTCTGTTCTTGGACCATATGTCCAGGACACAGAGGGGAACCCCACTGATTTACATGTGTCCTCCCATTAACACACTCAGGAGAAGCTGTCCAGCCAGGGGAACTGCTCAGAGGAAAGCCTGCCCCACACCAAGACTTCTCAACCTGTGCTGTGCCTCAGGATCACCCAGAATGCTTGCTAAAAATACAGGTACCCAGAACCACCCTGCAAATCTGTATTCTAATGAGCACTGCAAGTGATTGTGATGTACCCTGTGGTTTGAGAACCACCTGCCCAAATAATTATTGAGGGAACTCTCACCAGCTATTGGTACAGCCCATCCGGACCAGGGCTATACATTAGCATAAAATGCCCCACTGCCAGAAATTCTGATTAATTTACCTGAGGAGGAGGCTGGGCATTGGTACTTTTTAATAAGCTCTCAGGTGGTTCTAATGTATGGCGAGGGTTGAAAGCCAAGACCTTCATTTATGATAACCCACAGTACCCCAAATTGCTGGGTATACAGAAAGACTGATCTGCTCTGAACAGTGACTGGAGTAATGAGACAATGAACAGAAACGATGATTCTCTGATCAATGACCCCCTGTGAAATAGACTAAGTGGCAAAAACAGAGGGGAGATGTGAAAAAAAATAATCTGTATTCCATCCTCAGAGAGGTTCAAGAGGATACGCACCACTAGCACGGAGCAGGCTACTGAGAAAAAGCAGTCCAAGAAATATTACAAATTCTTGGAAATGAAAAGCATGATTGTCGACCACCCCTCTCCACACTTAGTGAGAAAAGAAAAACTCATTAAAGTATAAAATCACAGAAGGGACACCATTGAAAACCGAACTGATGACTCTGAAGAGTAATTCAAGGAAGTCTACCCTCGAATATAGACTAAAAAGACTAAGAGATGGAAATTATAATAGAGAAAAGATAAGAGATATGGCTGCTTCATCTCAGATGACCGGACTTCCTACAAAGGATTTCCTGAAAAGAGAGAGTAGAATGGAAAAAAGAGTAGCAATGATTTTTTTTTTAAGAGAGAAAGGAAGGAAGGAAGAAAAATAATTAAAGACTGAAGTTAAAGAAAGATTTAAGTTCTTGGATCAGATTAAAGGGACTACCAAGGGCATGCCAGAAATATTAGAAAGGAGATACTCATCTACATAATCTTTCTCTTTTGATGTTGATTGAGAAATATGTCTCAAAGTGTCGGTTTAAAATATATCAGGTTACTATTGCTCTGGGGAAGAATGCATTTGGACGTGGTAAAGGAAAACTTCTAGTTTTCATTTTTATACTTCATCATTATTTGCATGAAATAATGACATTTTAAAATAAAACATACTTTTAAGTGAGTAAGGCTGGACTAGAAACTAGAGTAACAAAAGCTAATACAAAACTTGATTAATAAAATAAAAGTCAAGGAAGAGGAAAAGAAACAAGAAGAAAAATTAGATGCAGAAAGCATAAACCACCAGGAAAAAGACAAACTATATGATCCAAGTAAATGTGACAGTTTTTATATTCCAATGTCCAAGGCAAAACACCCCATGAGAAAAATGGGCAAAGAACACAGAAACTGACAAGCCACAAAAGAAAAATGAGTATCTAGTAATCACGAGAAAATGTCCTCAAGTATATTAACAAAGAAATAAAAGTAAAATGAGATTTTTATTTTTTTCTATCAGATTTCCAAAGATGAAAAGGATTGATGATGCTTGGGTTGGTGAGGATGTGGGGAAATGTGAGCTTTTAAGCTGCGGGAGTGAAGAAAAGTTGTCACTGTTTTGCTCCAGGGGAATCTGGCCACAAGAACTAAAATTAAAATATGCATACCATTCCCAGCAATTCCAACCCCGGAAATTTATGCAAAAGAAATAACTGGACTTGTATACAAGGATGTTCCTTGTATCATTGTTTATGTTGTGAAAAAAAAAAGAAGAGGTTATAACCTAGATATTTATGAGATGGGGATTGATTAAATTAATTATACTACACTCAGGCAAGAGGACATTATGTAACTATTGAAAAGCATAGGTGGGTCTACATGTGTTTACATGGAAAGATTGCCATGATATGTTGCTAGTTAAAAAATTATGGGACAATGTATAAATAATGAACCCATTTATCCAAAAGAATATGATGTATATACATGCATACAAACCTAAATGGATAGACCCTAAATCAAAGGTTTTCATACTTTCTTAGTTCACGGTGCCCTTAATGCCTCAGTAAGCTTTTCACAGTGCCCTGGGCCAAAAGCAGCACCACTAAAAAACTTAAAAGCTTTTTTTAAATTAAAAAGTCATTTCCAAAGAACTTAATCTGTATTTATGTCCTAATGACTTTATAGCTATTTGAAATACATATAAATTGAAAGAAAAAATATGTTGACTTTGTTCCCAAATGACTACACGTGTGTTGTAGTGTTCTGGACATCGTCTCAAACTTTGGAATCAGACTGGACCCTCATTTCCTATTCCATTTTGATTTTTGCCCAGGACTTGCTTTTTATTACAACTGCCCTGAAAACCCAGATATGCAAAGATATGACATCCCTGAAAGGAATGTAATGTGATCTAATGTTGAAAATGGTGAACTGCCGTAACTAGCAGTTTATACAGTATCTGATGTAGGTCGAACGTCACTGTTTCCCTCAAAGATTTAGGATTCCCTGTGGTAACCCTGTTACTTCCCCGCAGCGGCCCAAGGGAACCGTGGCATTAGACTATTAACAAAAGCTCTTTCTGGAAAATGAGATTGGGTTGGATATAGAGAGAGTTTTCTTTATCATGCGTGTCTGAATAGTTTGAAAATTTTTATAATAAGCCTCTATGACTCTATTACTCTTTATAAGGTTTTTCCATTAAAAAAAAAAGCCAGAAAAAAGCAAGAATGAAAGTGAACGAGAGGACACAGAGAAATGAAAAACAAAACAAAGAGTCGTCTAGCCGAGGGGCAGAGGGTGCAAAGGTGCACCTCGCTGGGTTTGTGTGTGTGTTTCCTTCTGTAATTGTGAACGTGGTTTAAGTTCCTCTGAGCTTCAGTTCTTTGGCTGTTAAGTAAACACAGTCGCTTCTCTCATAGGTCAGGAGCTACTGATGGAACCATCGCTGTCCCGTTACTCCAGGAGAACAGAGTGATGGAAACCATGGATCCGGAACCCTCCCGCCTGGGTTCTAATCCTAACTCTGTCACCTACTTGCTGCGTGACCTCGAGCAAGTTCATCAACTCCTCTGTGCCTCAGTTTCCCATCTGCTCAATTGTGAGAATAGGAATTATCTTTTGTGAGGATTCAATGTGAGACACTAACTACGTGGCCAGTACAGTGGTGGTGTTGCTAATGAGTAAGGAACTCACCTGGGGGCTTACTTGAGGGGTTTCTGTTCCACTGACAGAGTCAAGGAAGTAATGAGACAGGAAATAATGTAATCTCACGATCCCATGCATTTCCCCCCACATCTCTCCCACTCCCAAACAGTAAAACACTTTTTTCCCCTTTTTTTACCTCATCTCTATGTCCCATAAAGCGGTATCGTCGCTGATCCAGGGGTTGGATGGCTCTGCTGGCGTGATCAAAGGGTCATATTCCACATACTGTTCCGTGTAGGCAATTAGGCTGCAGAAAAGCAGCAGAACAAAGAATGGCACTGATTTCCTCTAAAAATTTGTATTCTGTTTTACACAAACATTGTATCAGTCTTCATATAATTCTAAGTTAAGGGGAAAAAAATTACCTTCACTCCCACTTCCAAAAAATCAAACTGTTTTCACTTGTCCTTGTAAAGCTTCTCATGATGAACATACTGTTTCTGCATTATTGCAGTCATAGTATACACAGGCATTTTATATCTTTTCCCACTTAACTCTTTCCCCAAACCTTGGTGTGCCCCTCCCTGGTTATGCTAGCCTCACTGATACACTGGTCCAAACCTGCTGTGTATCATCCTCCCAAATAGACTACAGATCTCAAGGCATCTGGGGCACATAGAGGATGCTACAGTTTTTCTAGGCTGCCATCCCAGCATTCCCAACTGGAGGACTTTCTTATAATAAAGACTTTAAAATCCTGGCAGACCAAAAGGAGCTAACAAATTATAAGCATTTTTTCCCCAAAAAGTGACTTAGTTTTTCTAGTTGTAATTTAGATAACCACATAATCTTTCAAACAAAGATTTTAATTTTTATCAAAATGCATGTAGATTGTTAAAACAATAAAATAGTACTAAATGATTTCATGTACAAAACAGCAATAGCAGTGTTTTTTCTCTTATCCCTTCTCACAGAGGCACCTACTTTCTATCCTTGTTTCTTTCAGCATTTACCTGTATATTTCTAAATTATATATTTTTACAGCTACTCTTGGTAATCAATTTTAGACAAAGATTTAACTTTCTATTCACTAGTCCCTAACTCATTCCACTGTCTCCTCCCGTGATTCTCCAAATAGACTTATGTAACACTTTTTGTTAGACCAATAGTTAGTGTCCACATTATTAAACTTGATAAAAATTGCTTGTTGCTGAGCTAAATAGTGTATTATTACCTTTTTAAAGTGTTCTAACAAGTGTGTAAAACATCTGGCAATAATTTCCCACGTCTTAAACACATCAGAAAATCAGTCAGTTCTGTCTCCCTGTCTCCTGGAGGTCCTCTCCCCAAAGTCTTGAGTCCTTTTGCTCTAATCTGGACTGTTTGCCCTAAAGGCTTGATGCAAAATCATCATCCTGGGCCTTCCTTCACTTCTGTGTTAAAGCTCTGGTTTTCTGGATTCCATGTATGTCCATTGGTTTTATTCCCTAGTTGTGCTGAAGCACATCCTTTAGTAGTTTCCTAAGAAAGGATGCATAAGTGTTAAATGTTTTGAGTCCTTACCGGTCTAAAAATGTTTTTATTTTATCTTTATGCTTGAGTAGTGAACACAGAATCCTAGGTTAAAAATAATTTTCTTTCAGAATTTTGAAGGCATTGATCACTTTTTTTGGTATTCAGTGTTGCTATGTTACTGTGAAGAAGTCTGAATCCATTTTGATTTTTTTCTTTTGTTCAGTTTCTTTTCTCTCTGGAAGCTTAGAATCGTCTCTTCATTGCTATAGTGCTCTCAAATTTCAACACGACCCTTGCCAGCAGTTTTTATTCACTGTGCTGGGCACAACGGGAAATCAATAGGTATATATATACACATCTCCCAGAAATCTGATGGTACTTCTTTGCTAATTTCATAACCTTTATTTCCTCTGTTTTCTTTTTTTAAAATAATTCCTTTAAATTAAATATTGGAATCAATAATCCAATATTGTTCAATTTTCCCTCCCATTTTTTTATCTCCTCATCTTTTTGTCTGATGGTTCTTCCAAATTTTCTTTGTATTTTTTTCATTTGGATTATTACTTTCTTATGTTTCTAAAGTTCACTCTGGTTTATCATAGCATTTAGTTCTTGTTTTAGGGATGAAATACCTTCTCGTATCTATGAGAATATTAATTCTATATTTTTTATTGTCAGTTTCTTCTGTGTTTTGAGATGTTTTCTGTTCCTCCCAGCCCCTTTTTCTGTCTGTCTGCTTTGATCACCCTCCTTTGTTCTGGGGCTCTCTCTGAGTGTCTGGAACATCTCTGGACATCCATTTGTGCTTAAGCATGAGGTACCAAAACGTGCTGGGAGGCTCAGTGTGTGTGTGGACAGGACTTGCCAATTGATGGGCTTCATTGTTGGGTCCTGGAAGCTTGCCTGTCATCTCAGCAGAGCTCCACCTGAGGAATCTGGAGTCTTTCTTCAGATATCTATTTTTCTCTAAAGGTGGGGTAAGCAAACTTTTCCTGCAAGACCCAGATAGTAAATATTTTAGGCTTTGCAGACCAGATGGTGTCTGTTGCAACTACTCTGCTGTTCTGTTGTAGAACAAGAGCTGCCACAGATAATTCGTATACCAAGGCATGTGACTGTATTCCAATAAAACTTTATTTGCAAACACAGGTAGTGGAGTGGCATGGATTTGGCCCTTGGGTTGTAGTGTCCCAGTTCCTTGCCTGTGGGCATCTACATCTGGCTCCTGGCGGGCTGAGAGCAGGGCAGAGGAGGGGTGGAAGGCCCACAGTTCAGCAGGCAGATCTCTCACTAATTCTTTTGTGTTCAACTGGTTCTCTAGGATGTGATGTGCCTGAGTTCTGAGCTGATGTGACTCAACTTCTCTGGAGAATGAATTGCCCATCTCCCATTGTGGTGGCAAGTGGGGAGAGAGGATCTCCTCAGGGAGCATGGATCAAGGGATCCAAAGGCTCCAGAGACAGACTGCCCATTCCTCTGGGACTAGCCTTATGCCCCATTCTTGCCTTCCATGGCCCCTGGTGTCTTCAAGAACCAAAACCAGATTTTAATGGACAAACTGGTTTTGTTATAATTCTCCCTTTCCTAACATGGAGCCTATAATGTTCTTCACTCTGTCCTCATCCTTTCTTTTTTTTATTAAACTTTAAAATTAACTTGTGAATTTTTAAAAATAAATTTTGAACTATTTCTGGCATACAAAAAGGCATAACATTTATAAGAACATTACCCTTGTGCTTACCACCCAAAAAAAGAATTATAACACTACAGACAGAGACAGGGAGGCTTGTGGTCCTGCTCCTCAATTCCTTACACTTTTGATCTTGCAAAAATTTGTGAGAACTGTTAACCCATTCATTGGTTGACCTTATGAGTTCATGCCATTGTTATTCCTTTATTGAAGTGTTACTTCTGGGGAAGGAGGGAAGATAAACATATGCCCACAATATTGTCTGGAGTGAATTTATTTTAATTTATGTAGCATTTGCTTTATATTAGACACAGACTTTTGTTTTGTTTTGGTTTGGTTTTAGTGTACGTAGCGGTGGAGGTAGAACACCATTGTTTACGTGGTTTTTTCCCCATCTTTTGGGTTATTTATTTAGAATTAACAACCATAAGTGGAATTACTGGGCCAAAAGGTATGAATATTTTTTTGGTTCTCAATCCACAGTAGAACTTCTCCCTAAGCATTGCCAGCTGGAGTGTCACCCGCTTTCTCTGCCATGGCAGGTTCAGAACCACGATTCCTACTACTTAATTGCAAAGGGCGAGCAAGGCCAGTTAGCTCTCTTCTGAGAATGTGAAAATATTCAGTGGCAGCACCCCCTCCTTGCTACTCCAAGTGTGGTCCCCAAACCAGCAGCACAGCATCACCTGGGAGCTCGTAAGGAATGCAGAACCTCAGGCCCCACCCAGACCTACTGAGTCAGAACCTGCGTCAGTGATAAGATTGCCCCGGTGATTCATACGTACATTCAACTTGAGAAGCACCACCGCCTGTCCTTCAATTTTCTGAGACGCTCAGGATGCAGGATGTTTTGTTCATCAAATGAAAACGAAGGCGGCTGCAGGTTTCCTAACTCCTCAGAGCCTCCTCGTTGTCCCAGGTGTAGAGAGTCACCTGGCGGGGTGGGAGGACCAACTGGTCCAGGTTGGAAAACCTTGGATCTGGGTCTTGGGTGATCACTGAACTGACCTTTGTCAGGTTCACCTTATGTTAAATAATGGCCTTGAGCACTTTTGATAAAAAATGGGAAAGCATTTCAAGCGTCTTCCAAATGCTCCACGACTGTAAGATTGATGACTGAAATCACCACGTGCAGTGCAGGCCCATCACCCTGGAAATCTCCTACAGGATGTGCATCCAGCCCAGGGAAGCTTCGTCCATATGAGTGGTACAGCATCTCAGGTGCAAATGAACAGGAAAGGGAGCTCTGAGGGGACACTGTGGCAGCATGGACCAGGCAGTAAGCTGGTGTTGCAACAGCTCCACTGGGAGTCACCCCTTTGCCACGTGGGCTAATTTCATTCTTTCTGAGAGAAATGGGGTGTCACATTAAGGAATATGTCAGTTTTCTAGGGCTGCTGTGACAAATTACGACAAAACTGGTGGCTTAAAACAACAGAAATTTATTCTTTCTCACTTCGAGGGGCTAGAAGTCTGAAATTGAGGTGTCAGCAGGGCCATGCTCCCTCAGACGTCTCTAGGCGAGAGTCCTTCCTTGACTCTTCCGGATTCTGGTGGCTCCGGGTGACCCATCCTTGGCTTGTGGCTGCATCACTCCAGTCTCTGCCTCTGTCTTCACACGGCTTCTCCTCTGTGCCTGTGTCTTCTCTCCTCTTTCTTACAAGCACACTTGGCATTAGATTTAGGGTCTCTCTGGGTCATCCAGAATGATCTCATCTCAAGATCCTTCATTGTATCTGCAAAGACTTCTTAAATAAGGTCACATTTATTCCCAGGTCCTATGGGTCAGGATTTGCACTTATCTTTTTTTTTTTTTGAGGTGGGGGGCTCTATTCAACCCACTGCAAGGAACATGAAAGCACCTGGGTGTGAGTCTGGGGAGGGCACAGTGGACCACCTGACTTCTTCGCTCAGATCGGTACAATAACAAACCAGCAGCAGGTAACCTAGATCTATTCAAGGGATGACAGGTCACACCGAGATGCTCCGGAGTGTCTGAGGCAGGATGGGGTGTTGGGGGCTTTCCTGATTATAAGGCATTTGGGCATTCACTGTGGTAAAATCTGACGATGGGTGTAGTCCATGGGGCTCTGCTCAGCTGT